TGAAAATTTCAAATGAACAAACGTATTTTGGCGTGACGTGACAGTTGTATAGTCCTATGTCTTGTAGTTTAATTTACGAATATGAGTGAAATATGTCAAATAATCACATCTCAAAAAGGTAATAYCAAAATATGTGTCAAGGGATATTTGATGACGAAAGATAAAAATCGAGAGGACATGTATTACTGGTGCTGCGAAAAAAGAAAATCAATGGCCTGTACAGGTAAGTTATTATTATAACAACCAGAAAGACAAATTAATTTTTTATGAGCGTTTTAAGTTTTATTTAATTTGTTGTAATTTAAAAATTATATACGTTGGTATAATACGTTATGGACGTTTATTGATGGCAACATTCCTTATCGGTATTACCATACCTATAGATAAATTGCGATATGAATTTCATATTATGAAATAAAGTGATTATCGTGTACATTATTATTTCGTGTACATTGTCATTGTGTGGCACAATCTTATACGTGTAAAAGTTCCTCGCTTCTCACAGCGATTTACCCACCTAAACATTTTATTTTTGAAATTTAATTTACGTATAATTGTGTGGTTTTATGTGCTTAAGACGACGCGAGAAGCAGAATTTCTATTTGACGTTTAGTTTTTAAATAATAATTAGATATTTAAAAACTTAAAAGAGACGTTTTGGTTAAACGGCACATCATGGCGAGCGCGCGCGGTGTTCGAATAACAGGTCCGCCGACCGCCGCTATCTTATCCAAAATGTCTCTTTTAAGATTTTAAATATTAAAAAAACTAAACGTCAAATAGAAATTCTGCTTCTTGTGTCGTCTTGAACACATAAAACCATACAATTATACGTAAATTTAATTTCAAAAATAAAACGTTTAGATGGGTAAATCGTTGTGAGAAGCGAGGAACTTTTACACGTATAAGATAGACAATTACGATGAGTAGGCGATGAGAGTTTCATTTGGGTCATATATTATGTTAATTGATAAATTAACTCGATATTATAACTCACATTTTAATAGAAGTAATCATTAAAAATTATTTTTAATTTTTGCGTTTCATTCATAGGACGTGCAACCACTATATTTATCAACGAAACACATTTATTACGTAAATTTTCTGATCATAATCACGCACCCGAAGAAGCAAGGGTTGATGTATGTACTACTCTTAGTAATTTAAAAGATCAAGCACGAAATACCAATGACCAACCCTGTCAAATTATTTAAAGTTGTGTTACAAATATGCCAAGTACTGCTCATCCTTACATGCCGAATAGGAATGCTCTCCGGCAACAAATTAAGCGTATTAGAAGGGAAAATACGCCATCTCAACCTCAATCATTAGAAGATTTAATAATTCCCAATTCATTGAGAACTACGATTGGTGGGGAGTTATTTTTAATCAAAGATTCAACCATTGACGATGAAAAACTTCTACTATTTTGTACTAAAAATAATACTCATTGGCTGTCACATGCTCGTTATTTAATTATGGATGGTACTTTTTGGACAGTTCCAACAATATTTAGACAGCTATATACCATACACGCACCTGTAGGGGGAGACAATTTTCGAGTTTTTTCTCTAGCATATGCTTTAATGTCATCAAAATCTGAAACCCTGTATACACGTCTTTTTCAAGACTTAATTGATTTTTGCGAAGATAATGGTGAGCAACTAAATCCATATTGTATAATGACAGATTTTGAACCGGCAGCAATAAAGGCATCAAAAGCAGAGTTTCCTAACGTGAAAAATAAGGCATGCTTTTTTCATTTATCTCAAAGCACTTGGAGAAAAATTCAATCATCTGGCTTGGTGAATTTATATGATACAAACGAAGAGTTCAGTTTGAAAATAAGACAAATGCTTGCCCTGGCTTTTATTCCATCTCACGATATACCAGCAGCATTCGATGAACTTAAAGCGACATTTCCTCCTGAAGCTGAAGAAGTTGTCCAATGGTTCGAAGATAATTATGTACATGGCCGGATTCGTCGCCGAAACCAAAGAAATGGTAATATTATAYGCACAGACCCACTTTTTCCGCCCAAACTTTGGTCTGTATCAGAATTAATGGACCATGGAAYTCCTAGGACACAAAATATTGTCGAAGCTTGGCATCGACGTTGGTCGACTTTGGTTGGTAAACCTCATGTTGGAGTCCATACAATGATTGAAGAGCTCAAGAAAGAACAGCAACGAGTTTACTTAGAAATTGAAAGTATTAATCGTGGAGAACCACAACCGAAACAGAAGAAACAAATAATTGACAGAGAGAAACAAATAATGACGGTATTTAAAGAGAGATCAAATAGGAGTGTTTTAGATTTTTTACGGGGCTTGGCCCATAATATATCGATGTAGTTTTTTTTTCAATGACGATCGGCGGTCACATGCCGAATATTATATTCCATAATCAACATAATATACTATGATTTATAAATATAAAATTTTTGTGTGTTATTAAATCAAATTATTAAATAATGATTAACAAATATAATGTAATTGTAGTGTAATGTAATGTTTGAGTTTTTAAATTAAATTATTGAATAATGAACATGATAATATGTGAATATGTTTGTTCGGGATTTTAGACTGTCGGTATTTTGAACCGTCGGGGTTTTAAACTGTCGGTATTATGATTTGTCGGGATTTAGTATGTCGGAATTTTACATGTCGGGAATACAATTGTCGGGATTTCGATCCAGACCCTTTGAATTTTAAATTTTTACGAAATAGCGTAACGATAACGATTTATCCTGAAACGATTTTAAATATTTGTTATTATTCAAAAAGTATAGTCTGTAACGTCACAGAATTTCAGGCCTTATTATTATTAT